AGGCAGACGCTGCACGCTGTCAGGAGACGCCAGCGAGATGCCGGATCCGGGCGCATCGCTGCATGTGCCTCGTGCAACGAGGCACTCTACGAATGCGAAGATCAGATTGTTGACGCGGGGCCTGTCGAACACCTACCCACAGTGTTTCGCCTCGATGACTTCCAAGTTGTTCGGCTACCGCGCGACAGCAAGCTCGTCTCCGAAGTTGTGTCGGTGCTCCGCGTTGATGGCGTGCACTATCATCTGAACCCAAGCCTTGTCCCAGACAAAATCAACGACGTGGTGTGCTCGACATGCGCCAAGAACCCGACTGCAGGGTCTCACAACGTTGCGCCCTTCAGTATCGCCAAGGGCCACGACTACGGGCGGTGCGAGACGTCGCCAAAAATCAGCGACGCTACCTTGCGGGCTATCACAGCTGCACGTGCGCACCATATTAACCTTCGTGTGCAACCGCCCACTGCATTTGCTTTTTTGCGGATGGGCCGATCCAAGTCGCCAAGATTTTGCCTGAAGTCACGGACGGGCGACGGTTCCATGTGACGTACGTCGGACCACACGAGAAGTGCGATGAGACGCTCAATTCCATCCGTGAGCACCACGAGATCGTTGCAGACACCGCTTTTCGATATCTTCACGTCTGGAAAGGCGTGGGCCATCCGGGCTACGTTGAAGGATTATGTATTTAATCCATATGATTTCATCGTTCCTACCAGCCCACTCCCCCGGACCCTAGTTCAAGCACGAGATCGTCGCGTGGCGACCATTCCTGGCGCTTAAATTTGCAGGGAATCTTTAGAGCAAAAGCACCAATTTGCACGCTGTTGGCCATCATATAGACGCTCTTGTCGAGCTTGCCGCTGTCCAAGCACGCCGCACCTTGAAGCACATCACCAAGGCCTCGCTGAGCCCAAGCTCGGTGCGTTCGAGAAGAAGACGAAGCGTGTCTGTCCAAAGGAGGATGCCAATGCCGTCGAGCGTCGCCACATACGGAAGTGCGAGGATCAGCTCGGCCGCGAGCGACTCGATCACGCAGACGCAGTAGTTGGTGACCCCAGCCGCTGCCAGAAGCGTCGTCTCGCTTTGTTTGAGAGCCACCCAGACCGCGCGCACCTCACCCATGAGCTTGTCTATGCCCAAGACAAAGAGCATTGCGCGGATCTGGGCGGCTTGCACGATGCAAGGGTCCTCGGACATTCAATACCCAGCGTCCTCACGCGTGCCACGTACGCACTTGTTCGTCGCTGATCATCAAGACCACGTCGTTGAAGACCGATGCCTTAGTCTCGGCCTCGGTATGCAGCATAGTGAGTCTAGCTCTACACGTTAAGCGTTGCTTCCCAATGATCAGTTTCCATTTTGCCACTTCTCGACTTTCCAGTCTTGCAGTCGCATTCGATCGAGCTTCAGCGCAACCTGTTTTCCGCTTCCTCTCGCATTCGTAGCAGCCCCGCGGAGACGTCCAAGGGTCACTCTGTTACATCTGGTAGCACTTGTTGGATAGGAGTAGAATCCGCCAGAATTTCATCGAAAATCCACTAGAAATTGATGTTGCAGCCGGTGAGCGAAGCGGAGCTAGCTTGGCACGGATCGCACGCAGGAGCTCGAGGAAGTGCATGTGGCTGTCGTCGGGCGGCAGCGCCTTTGTCACCGGCCAGCACAAGTGGATACTTATCGAGAGCACCGACTCCTACTTGTCTGCCACGTTGACCGCGGCTGTCTAGATCTGTTTTCCTGTCTTCGCGGATATCTTCGTTTTCGTCTTCTTCGGCATGCGTTTAAGCCATGCGAGGACGGTGTCGGTGGTCGCGATACACCGACAAATTACTATTGGCCACACTGTGTTCAAATGAAAGAGAGATTTTTGGTCGGCGAGGTCGAATTTCATCAAGTGCTCGTCCATACTAAAACCAAGTATAATTTGACAATCTTTGGCCCTCAATCTATAGAGCACCAAGACTCCATCGAGAAAATATCGTAGTGCGCTGTAATCTCCAAAGAGTCCTCTATCGATGTGCAAAGTTTGGCTGAAAAAAATTGCAGGTCGTTTTGTCGCGTC